ATCACCTGACAGCATGAGACTTCTGTAGCCCTGTCCTAGGGACCCCGTGAAGGATAGGGGCAGGGAGCAGGGCTGAGGCTGGACAGGAGAGATCTGGACATGCCTCTTCCTTGAGGCAGAGGGCCGGAGTCCCAGCCCCCCTGAGACCAAAGCTTCCCAAGCCTGGGCACGGATATGTACCTGGAGACAAGGCCTAGGATTCCAAGCCTGCTGCTCAAGGTCCCCCATGTTGTCCAGTAAGGGGTTTGGGGGTTCTATGGGCCTGGAGACCTGGGCAGTGCTTTGGGTCACAAACACCAGTGGAGTGAGGGTGACTGCCCTCCCCATTCCTGGAGACCCTGGCTCTGCAGAGCAGTTTGCAGCCTCCATGGGATAGGTGGGGCGTTCAGGGTGGTGCCTTGCCCAAGGCAGAGGGGGGCACAGCACTGAGGAGAAGCGTAGTCACCTGGTGCTGCTCAGCTGATGCTCACTCACCCAAGAGGCTCTGTGATGTCAGCGGTGCCCTCCTATCCCCTGGCAGTCCTGGAGGAGTAGACAGAGGACTCCACCACCACTCAGGGAGATGCTTTTGGCCCTAGCTAGAATCCCCTAGAAAGCAGCTTTCCTGGCTCCTGGCACATCGCATGAGGAGTGGCAGGGGCTGCTCCCTAGTCACTCATGATGGACAGAGATGCCTCAAGCCACCTGCCACACGCTGCTTCCCTTAGTCACCAGCCCAACCTGAGCCTCTGTTTCCTCATCTGTAAAATGGGGATAGCGTGCCTTCCTGGCTGTGTCACTAATCATCCCTGAGACAAAGCATGCCAACTCCTGGTAAATATTTCTTCCCTCCACTCGTCACTGAGGTGCCCTTTGGCAGTGAGCTCTGACCAGCCGGTGAGGTGGGCCAAGGAGTGACTGGGACATGAGGCTGCCTGGAGCCAGAGGGCTGGGGGATGTCACTTCCGCTGGCCAGGAGCCAAGGAGAGGTGTTCCCGTGCTCCTACTTCTGGGGAGCAGGCCTGGGGCAGGGGTCTGAGGCTCTCTCCCCAGTGCAGGCTCCCGGAGCTGGTCTCCTGGGTGTGGCGGAGCTTGATTTGTTTACTGGACTGTGGACCCTCCCAGCCTGGGACTCAGGACTCAAGACCCTCTTGCATGCCTGTATGGTGTTTGGGGGCTCCAGGGCTACGGCCAGTCCCCCTAGGGTGGGCAGTGGGTATCGTGGGCAGCAGGACCTCTGGGTCTCAAGGCCACGGCCCCACACATGCCATTGCTGTCTCCTTTGGGCAGGGGCGAATTGGGGCTTAAACAATTTAGAGGGGCCCTCTTTATGAAAGGGAACAATCATGATTCCTGCACATTTTTCATTGATATACATATGAACTTCTGGACCCAGACAGGGCTGTGAAAGTGGGCGGCCTGGAGCTCGGGCGGGTCCAGATGACTGTGTCCTCCTTTGTAACAGCCAGAGTCCAGGATGTTTTGCTCAGGGCATTGGGCTGGCACTGCAGAGGGTTGGGGGCAGGGGGACCCCTGGGACATGGCTGGTGGGAATTGTGCTAGGAAACCTCAGGGATGCTCCCTGGACCTGTCAAAGCCCCCCTTCCCTGCTCCTTTGGAGGCTGTGTGTCCCCCACTCCCCCAACAGGGGTCCTTTCTATGCCTGTTCCCCTGACAAAGTGTCGGTGCTGCCTGCCTCTAGAATGGTTTCCCCAACACCCACAACCCCTCCTCTTGAGCTCCCACCCTAGGGTACTCTGCACCAGTCCCTCTCTCAGAAGCTCACCGCCCCAGACAAGCCTGTGGTCCAGAGCTCAGCAACACAGCAGGACCCTGCCCACTGCGCGGCCGGAGCCAGGCCCACCACAGCCTCTGGGGACAACTTGCCTTCCACCCCGCTCCACATGGTGCCTGCCATGAGACCCTGCCCTGCTATTCAATGCACTGCCTTGGTGTGAGCACTGCAATTCTAACTGACAACACACCACGGCCCTAGACCTCCAGGGCAAGGCTGCGGCGTCAGACACAGATTCCCGAATGCCCACGGGGGGAGAGAACAAGAGGCCTGGGAGGCCAGGACCAACATTGGCCCTAGGCCCTGGATGGCCCTCCCATTGCCTTCCAGCTGCTGCTGCGGTGTAACCAGATCCCTGTCCACCCAGCCCAGGCCCATGGCCCCAGCAGGCCCTCTGTGCCCCACTTCTGGGCAACCCTAAGATTGGGACCCCCCTGTTCTAGCAAAAAACCTAAGATAGCCCAAATCCTTCCTAATGCATGATGGATCCTGGGTCTGAGTGGCTGGGCTCAGGGAGACTCCTGCAGGGAACTTCACCTTGCCCTGGATGCAAGTCAAGGGTGGAATTTAGGTGGGGGCCTGCCCCCACCCCCATCATGAAAGAGGTCCAGCCCACAGTGGGCCCAAGGGGGCTGCCCCTTGGACCTAGGACCCACGTCAGCATATCCTGAGTCAGAAGGTCAAGTCATGCCTCAGCAGGAGAATTCTGGCTTTGACAGAAGCAGAATAAATTCTCAGGGTGGGGATTGCCCAAACAAACTCGTGGCAATGGGACTGCTGGCTGAATCACTTGAGTTTCAAGTGAAGGAGCCATGTTTCAAAATAGCAATTTGCCATCTAAGCACTTACCAATTCTGAAAAACGATTTATTTGAAATACTAAATACTTAGGCTGTCTCATGTCTGAAGCCTGATGATGCCTTATGTGATTTAAAGGACAGACGTCACGAATGCCGAGTTTTGTGGCAGTCCATCCTGCCAGTGTCTTCTCTCACTTTTGTTCTGTGGATTTGAGCTCACAGTTTGTGCTGTGCCCACCGCCTGCCCCCACTAACGAGAGTCCCGGAGACTTGGCTGGCCAGTCACCAGAGGAACAGGGGCCCGGCAGCACGCCAGCATCCACCCACCTGTGGTATCAGTCAGGCTCCTGGGGGAAGCCAGAGGACGTATTCGAATGGGTACTTAAGGAAAGGGGCTGTTCACTGAAGTGTGGACAGAGTTAAGGGAACCAGTGAGAGATGAGGAATGCCCTGGAGCAGGAAGAAGGGGAGCTGTTCTCTCCCTGGGTCTAGAGGGACAGGAAAAGTGTCCGCAGACCCCAAAGACAGCTGTGGGTGTAGAGGAGGATCATCAGGAGCTGCAGTTTTCAGTGGAAAGATGTGGCCACTGCCAAACCAGCAAGGAAGAATCTGAGCGGATAACCACCTCTCCTCTCTCTCCCACCTCCTGTGACATCCCCCATTGTCTGAATTCCACTAGGGCCAGAGAGCGAGGCAGCGTGGTGATGCAGCCCAAGAGGGAGCGGGCAGAGAGGAGCCAGTGGGTACGGAGGCGAAACAGAGAAACAGAGAATTCCAGCTCACTCTGCGGGATGTCTGGGTCTGATAGAAACATGGCAGCAGCTTTATTATTATTATTATTATTATTACTACTACTATTATTTTGAGATGCTCTTGTTGCCCAGGCTGAAGTGCAGTAGCGTGATCTCAGCTCACTGCCAACTTCTGCCTCCCGGGTTCAAGAGATCCTCCTGCCTCAGCCTCCCGAGTAGCTGGGATTACAGGCACATGCCACAACGCCTTCCTAATTTTTGTATTTTTGGTAGAGAACGGGTTTCACCATGTTGGCCAGGCTGGTCTCGAACTCCTGACCTCAGGTGATCCGCCCGCCTCGGCCTCCCAAAGGGCTGGGATTACAGGTGTGAGCCACTGTGCTAGGCCTGCAGCAGCTTAATTTTACAGTGTCCCTTTTCTCTTTCTGGAAACTATATGGAGCAACAACAAGACTGAGGAGAAGGAGGAGGAGGAGGAAGAAAAAGCCCATCATCAACACACACATCAAACTCAACTTCAGAGAAATTAGGAAGCTGGGAAGCCATGCAAACCCAAAAGCAGGTGACACCAGCAGAACCAACACAGGAAGCTAGGGAAGTGGAAAAGAACAGGGCATGGGGGGTGGCCAGGGGGGATCTTCATTGTTGCCAGCAACACACACTCCCAGGAGGACAGGACCCTCAGGGTGAGAACAGAGAGCTGCAAAAGTGAAGAATGAAGGAGCAGGTGCTGCCCGGGGAAGTCCAGGGGTGCAGAATCTGAGAGCATCCCTTCCCAAGAGAGGCGGGAACACTTGGGAAGGCAGGGCTGAGTCCCTGGAGGCTGTATCTGTGAAAGGAGGCTGGCAGTAGAAACTGCCTGAAGCCGAGTGGGTTCTGAGAGGCAGAGGGGCAGTGCTACAGAGGTGAGGCTGATGCTTCTGTGCAGGAAGGGCAGGCTCCTGAGGAAGGGAGCCCCGACTGCTCTCCATTAGATTCCCAGGGAGCCCCACTCCCTCCACAGGGACCTCATGCTGACAATGAAATCCCATTCATATTGGAACCTCCGACACACTGCCGTGAATGTGAGGGTTTCGTGACTGATGGGGTAGGTTTCTCTTCCAACTCAATAGTATAATTTCCATTTATTCCTCCCCCAGCCTCCCTGAACGTTCACCTCTTAGATAACCACAGTACGGTGATCAGAACAAGGAAATCCACATTCTCATATTTAATTATATTAAAATTATTTCATAAAATAACCAATTTTAATTAATTAAATACATTTAAATAATGTTTAAATATATTTAAATTATTTAATTTAAAATGAACATATTAGCTAAACTAAAGTCCTTACTGGAGTTTCACCACTTTTTCCACTAATGTCCTTTTTCTGTTCCCAAATGCCATCCAGGATCACGGGGCATTTAGTTATTTCTTAGTCTCTTGCCATTTTGTAGGACTGCAGTGACAGTTCCTCAGTCTTTCCTTATCTTTCCTAACTGTGACACTTTGAACTAGTACTGATCAGTATTTGTCAAATGTTCCTCGATTTGGGTTTTTCTGATGTATTTCCACGATTGGACTGAAGTTATGCACTTTTGGCAATTACAGCACAAAAATGATGTGGAATCCTTCCCCGTGCATTCCATCAGAGTTATGGCACTGATAGTTCTTCTTACTGATGATGTTGAACTTGTTCACTTGGTTCAGGTTTCTGCTTGAACAGGGACCTGGGAGGCAGAGCCTGCAGGGAGCCGAGATCACATGATTGCACTCCAGCCTGGGCTACAGAGAGAGACTCCACCTCAAAAAAAAAAAAAAAAGATACATTTTCTGTTATTTGGGTAGTATATTTACTCATATTAGCTCACTAAACAGAGCTGCAGATCAGTTCTTATTCCAGCACATTCTTTTTACAACACTTAAGATGACTAAATGTGACATGAAATGGGGAAGATTTAAAAAAAGATGCCTTTGACTTCAGCATGAAACAGATACAAGTGTATGATGAAAATACAACCGCAATAAAAGCGCCACTTACCGTAAATGAGTATAACTCTTCATCACATACGCTCAAAGATCCATCTGCATCTCTATAAAATAAGAGTGTGCATTACTTCAAAAACTGTTAATATCTTAGTATAATACCTGTTTAGTAAAATAATGCCTCCTGTGTGCTTTGGTGTTTACCAAAGCAGTTTTTACGAAATCTTCTCCCGGATCCTGACTTGCAGAGGGTTTCC